AATTGATAATTTATGCTAAATGCATAAAATATGAATGCAAATATTATACCAATGAACGCATATTTTACTGTAATATTAACCATCTTTTTTGAAATTTCTTAATGAGTGGTATATTGAAAATTTCGACTTATCATTAACGATCATTTTGTGCGACCTTGTGGTTGATCAGTAGAAAATATTTTTGACTCAACGTCAGATATAAATGATTAATTTGATTATCAAAATTTCATTTCAGGATATCAACCGTTGCAAAAATTTAAAATATTTAATTTTACTTGCATAAAAAAAAATATATATATATAATATTGTTTGTAATGATTCTTTTTAACCCACAACCCCTATTTCCAAATTAGGGAGTTTATTCTGTCGGAATAATGATAAAATTGGTCGTTATTTTAATATACATATTTGAAAACTAAAGTAAGGATTACATGTAATATTAACGTAGTAAAGATATTCCTTATAAAAAAAAAAAGATCTTTGATAACGTCGAAGAATATTTCCCTGGAAACATAAATCTCACATGCGTCAAAGCATGATTCGACCGCTCAAAACTTCAGAAGCCTTTACACGTTTTTTATTTAATCGAATTTTAGAAACATATGTTACTTATGATAAAATGAAATTTGAAGTAGAAAGATCGGATTATTAACAATTAATGAAATTCCATATTTAAACTTATTAAATTTCCTTCATGAAAAACTATAAATTGTATGGGTTAAAAAATCAAAGGAAGAAAAATGTCTCATCCGAACAAAAATACTTTTAATGATGGAAAGTTAAAATAAAATAACGTCAAAACGGAAAAGCGCAATGAAAAATTCTTTATAATAATATAACCCAAAATAACAACAAAATTCTTCATTTTTTAATTAACGTTTTCTAAATCTCCTTCAAATACTGTTTCTATTATTTTTTTTTTTTTTAAAAAAAAAACATGGATCTTTCTTGGTGTCCTGTGTGTGATAAACACACGTTTGCTGTTGAAAATTTATATTGTAGTGAAGCGTGCCGGAAAAAAGACAAATTATCTACTTTTAATGAAAAGTGTTGTTATGATTTTCCAAGATGTTCTTCGCAAAAACCTTATCAACATCCTTTTTATTCTCCGAACCATTCGCCGGGGTCATCTCCAAGTTCTTCACCAATGTTACATGCAACTCACAATACGACGAGTTACGAAACTTCTCCGATGGATCTTTTGCTTGATGAAAATCATAATTATTCTTATAATAATAATGATTATAATTCAACGCATTCATTAAATAATGAAAATACAAAAAAAATAAACCCTTTTTAATTTTTTTTTTAAAATATTGCTTGCTGGATGGGCATTGTATTAATTACGCTTTTTCGTTTGACATTTTTTAAATAATAATTTTTAATATAATTTTTAATTAGAATGGATTTTGTAAACTTAAGGTTCCCTTAAATTTTGAAATCCGAACAACTTTATCCCCCTCCCTTTTACCATTATCATATTTTTAAATTCTTGTAAAATAATTTTTTTCATTCCCTTTTAAACCAACCTTATCAAATATATCATTATTTATTTATTTTTTTTTTAAAGAAAAAAAAAAAAAAACCTTGATATTATTTTAACCTTCCTAATAATGTGCGCGTGTAAATTTTTGTTTGTGATTTTAATGAAGTACCTGGGTTATATATGTGACTTTTTTTTTTTAAAAAAAAAAATTGAAACACAATTTAAAGAAAATTCTTAATAAAATGATTGAAAATATATTTTTATATTTTATATTTCAAATTATAAAAGGTTTCGTGTGAAGCATATGGGCACTTTGCAGTAGAAAGGGAAACTACCAAAAAAAAAAATTTTTACTTTATAAGCAGATTTAACATTAACTCAAAAAAAAGTTTTTTTGATAGTTTCTTTCCTTTCTACCGCAAAAGCGCCTATATGAAGCAACAATCATATTTCTAAATTAAGAAAAAAAATTTTTAAACTCGTTTTTGTATGACGGACAATGAATCTACGATAACGGGAATTTCTATTAAGATTATCGGGATTGTTTATTATTTTATTAAAAGCCTCAAGCCGTGAGGTTTAGAGAATATTTTTTTTCCTTTTCTCACTTATCATAATGGTAACTTACGATTTTGAAAAAGAATCGTTGGAGATCGGTTTAATAGGTCTGGGTGATATGGGTCTGTTGTATGCAAAGAGAATTGTAGCAGCTGGTTGGAAAAAGTACGAAAACTTCGCTTGTATTCTAAAGGATAAAGGACGTTTATATTAAAATAATAATCTTTATACGCATATATGCATATATCAATTTGATTAGAGTGAATATATGTGACCAACCTAATCAGTATGAACATTTTAAAGAATTATTGAAAGGTTCATAATAAATTTCGAATATCTTAACTTTTCGTTGTTTAAAATGTTTGTAACATTTCTTTAATTCATTAGATAGTAAAATGAATGTTTGTCGAGATGGTCATGCAGTGTCTAGACGAAGTGATTTTATAATTTATTCCGTCGAAGCGGAAAATATTGATAGGGTCGTGGCAGAATATGGCCCATGTAAGTGAAACTTTTGGTGATGATGAGATGTTTCGCATTTTATTCTATATATAACAAACACTTTTTTGATTTTTCCAATTGTAGCCACGAAACTTGGTGCAATTGTGGCCGGTCAGGTGAGATAAATTGGTTATCGACAATTTGCGTAAAAAGTTATTCCTGGTTTAAAATTTTTTTTTGTTTCCGGTTATTTAGACATCAGTCAAAGAACCTGAAATTCGCGCCTTTGAAAAACATCTTCCCGATGATGTTCATATCGTCTCATGTCATTCGCTTCATGGGCCAACTGTGGACTCAAAAGGTCAGCCATTGGCAAGTATCTTAAGAATGGTTTTATATTAGAGAATTTTTTTTCATTTTTATTCAATTGTCAAGGAAATAATCCATCATTTATTTTAGGTGATGATTCAACATAGAGCCTCTCAAGAGAAGTTTGAAATCGCCTTGCGTGTTTTATCCTGCATGGATTCTGAAATCGTTAAATTATCGTATGAAGAACATGATCGAATTACTGCTGATACTCAAGCGGTAACGCATGTCGCATTTTTAAGGTATGAGTTCGAACACTTTAAATCGTAGTTTTTTTTTTTTTTTTTTTCCTAAATTTGAATCCTTTTTTTCTTTAGCATGGGAACCGCGTGGAAAACACAACGACAATTTCCAGTATATATTAATCTTGTTTATTTATTTCATACGCGTTTTTAAAATCCCCCTTCCGTATTTATGAAATCCTTGCCATCTTTTTTAGTGGGAAACTCCACAATACGTGGGTGGGATAGAGAATGTCAAAGTTCATATGGCGTTACGTATTTATTCAAATAAATGGCACGTCTATGCTGGTAAAGTCATATTCTTAATCAGATTACACGTAACTCGATCGATTCTTAAACCAAAAAAAAAAAAAAAAATCTTATTGATTTAAGGGTTGGCAATTATGAATCCAAGTGCAAAGACACAAATTCAACAATACGCACAATCCGTTTCCGATTTATTTAAATTAATGATTCAAGAGAAGGAGAAAGAATTTAGAACGCGAGTTAAAAAGGTAAAATCAATCCCCTCCTTTTAATTAGTCTTTAGTTTGGGTCGAACGCTCACAAATTGTTACGTGATTATTAAAAATCATTTGCCTTAAGGCGGGAGAATTTGTTTTTGGTGAATGTTCTGATTCACGTGAACCAATTCTATTATCGGATACTCTTTTGGATAAATATTCTTTATCTATTGTTCCGAAAGAAAAAAGAAAACCAAATTCCCATCTATCATTGTTATCCATGGTATGGTGTGTTTAATAATAATAATAAAATAATTATTTTCTACCTTCATTTCATCTTTTTTTTTTTTTTTTAGGTGGACTGTTGGTATACATTAGGGATTAATCCTTATGAACATATGGTTTGTCAAACACCATTGTTTCGACTTTGGACGTAAGTTCTTTTATCTTCTCTGATTTGATATGTATGTACGTGAATCTATATCTTATATCAACCTAATTAATTATAGTGGTATTACGGAATATTTATTCCGTAATGCAGAAATGTTGGAAGAAGCGATTCATTCAGCATTATACAGTAAAGATATTAGAGCGGATGATATGGAATTTTATAGCGCGTCAAAAGGTTGGGCGGAATGTGTTAATATTGGAAATCTACACGCTTATCAAAAAAGATTTGAAGATACTGCAAAATTCTTCGAGTCGAGGTATAGTGAAGAAGAAACAAATTTATTAGTTTGTTGTTACGTTAATGAGGTTAATTATGTGTAACATTACGTATTATTTTTAAATCACACTAATAGATTTGATGAAAGTAACAAAATTGGAAGGGAGATGATAAAAGTTATTACCACTAAGACTCACAAATGAAAAGGTTCTTATATTTGAATCGAAATCCTCTTCTCTTGTAAATAAATAGGCCTTTAATGTAAAAAAGAAAAAATTTCAAAAGTATCAGAAGTTGCCAAGTTAATGTAATGATATTTAAATATTTCTGTTCCTTCTTTCTATAATTGTTTCAAAAAAAAAAATTTTTTTTTTAAAAGTTACACTTATTCCAAATAATAATAATAATAATAATAAAAATGTATTTTGTTATACCAGTTTTTGATTTATTTCTCATTTGATACATTAATTACTACAGAATTTTGTGAAATAAATTCAGAAGGTAATGCATGCCATACTAATAAAATCAATCTTTTTTTGTTTGTTTTTTGTTATTTTTTTTTTTTTGTTTTTTTCTTTTTCTTTTCTTTTGATCAGCCAAGTTAAATACAAATGATATCATTCTTTTTGTTTCTTTTTTTTCTCTTTAGGTATTTAACCAATGCAAACATTATTTCAAGAAAACTCTTGAAAACTAATATTATTCAATATATATATGTGTAATATGTGAGCTCTATCGTGATTTTATTTAATTAAAAAGTAAAAATAAAAATATCAAATTCTGCAATCTAACCATTAAGAGTACAAATCATCATCGCCTCCCTCCTGAAAACCACCAGCATTGGTATCCATTGAAGCGGTAGGTTCTCCCCCTGAACCTCCACCAATACCACCTTCAGGGAATTTAAAGTTTGGTCCGAACCCACGAGATTGTTGAAGATTTTGTGCAAACATTTCATATTTTCGAATGTCATTATCAGACACTGAACGACGCGCATATCGCATGGCTTCTTCAAAATGTTCTCTGGATTATTATAATAAAATAAATCATTAGTAAACCTGTTATAATACAAAAGAAAAAATTTTGTTTTTTTTTTATATTTCAAATATAGATATTGAACCTTGTGATTTGTGGAACTGGATCTTCTTCTTCAATGTCCTCTTTTTCATTGTCATTGTCCTCTTCCATTCCGGATTCCTGTTTTTCTTTAAGCTCTCTTTCACGAGCCAACTCCTTTTCAATACTTTCTCTGATGGCTAATTTACATGCACGCTGACAGATTTCCGTTAAATCAGCACCTGAGAACCCATGTGTCGATTTAGCTAAGAACGACAAATCAACGGCCTCTGAAACGGGTGATTTTCGTAAGGTAGCCCTTAGAATTGAAAACCTTGAAGGCTCATCAGGTAAAGGTATGTAGATCAATTGATCTAGACGACCAGGACGAAGCAAAGCAGGATCGATTTGATCTGGACGATTTGTAGCACCAATGACGAATACATTCTTCTTGGCATTCATACCGTCCATTTCAGTAAGAATTTGATTAAGAACACGATCACCGGCACCGCCACCGTCACCAACCGAACCACCACGTGCCTTTGCAATTGAGTCCAATTCATCAAAGAACATCACACAAGGTGCAGCTGCGCGTGCCTTGTCAAAAACATCACGAACATTCGCCTCGGATTCACCGAACCACATAGTCAATAATTCAGGACCCTAGGAACGACATTTTTTAATTTTAAAATAATTTTCTTAGTATGCTTATCATGAGAATAAATTTAAACAAAAAATCGCTTGATCAAAATTTCATATTACCTTGATACTGATGAAATTAGCTTGACATTCATTGGCAATTGCTTTGGCCAACAAAGTCTTACCACAACCGGGAGGGCCATAAAATAACACTCCCTTCGATGGAGACATACCAAATTTCAAGAATTTTTCAGGGTGTTCCACAGGATATTGTACAGTTTCCTGCAGTTCCAATTTGACTTTTTCAAGTCCACCGATGTCATTCCAATTGACGGTTGGAACTTCAACAACCGTTTCACGCAATGCGGATGGATTGGATACTCCCAATGCATACTAAAGTAGATCATATTTTTTTAAAAAATAAAGAAAAGGTCGGTCAGATAAAGTAAATCGATTTGAAAATGTCTGTCTATTTGTTATACATACTCTGAAGTTGTCCATGGTAACCGCCAATGAATCTAAAACTTCGGCATCAATCGTCTCATCTTCCAAATCGATCAAATCCATCTTTTCACGAATTTGTTGCATAGCAGCCTCTGAACAAAGCGAAGCTACATCGGAACCTACATAACCATGAGTTTCGGAAGCGATCTATTTGAAAACAAAGTGAGATAGATAAATAGATATATATTATTAGCAAACGTAAGCAAAATATTCTTAGGATTCGAAAGAAAATGATTTGTCAACTAACTTGCTCTAAATCGACGTCGTCATCCAATTTCATGTTCTTTGTATGAATACGTAAAATTTCCAACCGTCCAGTAGGGTCGGGAATGCCGATATCGATTTCACGATCGAAACGACCGAAACGTCGAAGGGCAGGGTCAATACTGTTGGGACGATTTGTGGCCGCCATAACTACAATATTTGATCGTGCTTTCATGCCATCCATGAGTGTAAGGAGTTGAGATACAACACGTCGCTCTACTTCACCATTGGTCTTTTTTTTAAAAAAAAAAAAAATTTTAAGTTCATTAATAAAAAAAAAAAAAAAGTCAAAACCATGTGTGTGTGAGAAATTATAATTTTCGAGCAATCGTAAATCACACACCTTTTCACGCTTAGGTGCGATGGCATCGATTTCATCAATGAAAATAATAGCAGGGCTGTTCTTTTCGGCTTCTTCAAAGGCCTTTCTTAAATTGCTTTCAGACTCGCCAGCCATCTTTGACATGATTTCGGGGCCATTAATCAAGAAGAAGAAGGCACCAGTTTCGTTGGCCACCGCACGTGCAATCAACGTTTTACCCGTGCCAGGAGGACCATACATTAAAATACCCCGTGGTGGTTTAATACCAATAGATTTGAAAAGTTGCGGATGTCGCAGGGGAAGTTCGACAAGTTCACGAATTTGTGCCATTTGTTTTCGGCAACCCCCAATATCATCATAACCAACATCGTTGAGAGTGGCCTCTTCGTCTTCACGTTTGATCGCATCACCTTCACAATGTATTACTGTGTCTTGTGCAACCTAAATAAAAGATTCGTGTAAATCGTCATATAAACTACCCACTGTACACACATCATTATTTACTTACGATACAATAATCCGGTGGATCTGTTTCTACAACTTTGAATTCCACAGCTCTCATACCACCTCTAACCAAAAACAAATCTCCCTTTCTCACAGGTCGATATGCTTCCAAGAAATATGGTTTTAGGTATACATCGAATAAATTACCTGTTACACCCTCAACTGTGTCATC